GACGGGAGTAATCATCTCTGGAAGAAAGCAGTGCCAGCCCACTTGGTCAGAACATCTGGTCTCAGCAGAATCCAGGCCGACAGAGGCAAAAGTGAGACCCGGTGTGAAAGCCAGAGGTGGGAAGGTTTCCCTGGGAACCCGAAAAATCAAAGCACCGATCCTGGGGTTCACAGTGCGAGGTCCCTGGCAGCAGCGGTGGCCGCCCCACATTGAAATCCCCACTCCCGACTCTTCCCCGAGGAAGATGCATCGTGTAGATCAAGCGATGGGGTTTTGTGACCGATGAGCTACCCTAGGCTTGGGCCTAAAAAAGCAGTCAACTTTGCCAAGAAAGAACGTGAAGCAATCCCATAAGCCAGCCGACCAAGAGCCTGCCCTTTCTGCTACCTTTTCCCATGTCCCCAGGTGCTACGCAGGCTGCGGGGACACTCCTTGGACTGAGCCAGGCCCACGATCACAGGTAGGAAACCGTCTTGGGGTTTGGCAGAGGAGAATGGAGTAGCCTGGATGTTGGTGACCAGGGTGGGAGGGCTTGGACGAGGGCAGTGAGCCATCAGGATGGCCTGAGAGTAGACAGCGACCCCACCCAGCCCGCCAGCAAAACAGGCTTGTCCCCTAAGCATGTGCAGCAAATTGACTATTTGGACCTAAAATGAGGGCTGCTTGGGTGGTACAATCAACAGTCGTTGGGACAGTTCTTCCTCCGGGGGAAAGCTGCCACCATACCACTGATGATGGCAAAAAAGGGCATCAATAAACATGGGAGGGACCCGAGTCAGAGGCAGGGAAGCAGGGACCCGATCGGCTTGTGAGGGGCTCCTACTTGAAGGCTCCTCCTGCCCACACCCCAACTGAGGGCACATTTATTCCACGATGGGGGAAAGGTGCATGCAGGCAGGAGAGGGGCACCACGCCCCTTACAAGTGGAGGGTCTGTGGGTCCATCCATCCCTGGCCCCGGCTCCCTCCCTGTGACCACTCTGATCAGTTCCAGGGGCTCATAATTCATTCTAATTCTCTGCAAACTCAAAGCCTTGACACAGCCCGGATGAAAGCACCTTCCCCCCCCCCCCCCCCCCCCACCGGACCTGAGGATAGAATCCAAGGCTTTCCCTCCCTCAGGATGCTAATGAAGAAGCCGTAATCTCTCAGGGCAGAGAGCAGCCTCTGGGGAGACAGTGAGCACTCCCTCTCTGGCAAGTCTGGTCTCAAGCACTCACTCTCCCGAGGAGAACAGCAGGAGAAGGAACGAGGTTAACGGGTCCACGATAAGCAGGGGAGAAAGGGGTGTCTGCCACTTTGCCAGAAGACAAAATATCCCTGGCAAGGTCTTCAGGCATAAGCCGACGGGGGCGGCAGCAGGGAGGGTGGCAGGAAGGAACACTCCGGATCTCTGTGGGCTGCGTTCAGTGGCCTTCCAGCACGGCGAGGGCCCTTCCCACCAGCAGTCTACACGACACGCTCCCGGAAGTGTTCGCTGCAGAAGGATTCTGAGCCCACAGGCCGGAGCCTGGCAGCTTCAGTCACTTGAGAGGGTCAGCGGTCAAGAAGTCGGGCACAAGGCAAGGCCAGTCCTAACTCTGTGACCCATCAGGACCCAAGAAATCAGAAACACCTGGGGTCGTCGGGAATCCAAGACCAGGTGAGCACAGGGGAGGAGTCTGCTCTCCAGGCTCCTCAACGCCTATGGGGGTGCAGGCCAAGCTCCAGCATGGAATGGGGTGCCCCCGAGACGGCAGCACGCCCTTGCGCCTCTTCTGCGCTCGTGGTGGCAGCACTTTTCTTCCCGGCCCCTCACGCAGCAGACACAAGGCAGTGCTAGGGGAACGCCTCCCCTCGCGGCGACCTTTGCCAACACGACAGGGAGACAGGCGGAAGGAGGGCTGTGTGGCCTCACTCGCTGGGGGCGACAACAGATGAGCCTTTCTAATGGGAAGGGACAGAGCTGAAGGGTAAAGGGAAGGCGTGACCTACTGCCCCTTCACCCCATGGACCGATCCGGTCCCCGGAACACCCAGGTAACCACTGGCTTGTGCTCAAGGCAGAGGAAAGGCCTCCTAGCCCCCAGCTGACTTCTCTCTACTCCAAAAACACAGGGCAGAGAAGAGCTCAGCCTTCCGGGCCGTACCGTGGTCACCAATGTGGCTACCACCAACTCGGGGCACTCTGAGAATGGAACTTCTGGAGGTGAACGATGTATCACGATGTTAAAAAAAAAAAAAAAAAAAAAAGTAATTAAGAAAAGGAAAGAGAGAAGAGGGGGGAAAAAAAGATTTGTTTTCATAATTTTTAGCCCAGAAATGTGTCTCATTTTAACTCTCGTCATGTGTGGTCCAGCTGGGAAAATGTTCCTCACACATGGTCTCAGGAGAGAGTGTCCTCAGTACTCTGATAACAGTGGGTGGTTTGAAACACGACTCTCGGTCCCCAGTGACAGCTCTAATCACCACCTGTGTGGTGGCCTGCGGTTGCTGGCACATGGGAAGAAGCGGGCCTCCCCACACCCCCCACACCCAGAGGCCCGGAACTCTCTCCTCCCTGCTAGCAGCAGCACACAGATGCTGCTGGGGACAGAGGTGTGTCCTCTGGGCTGGATTCCATGCCTGCCACGGCACCTCAGGGTCTGGGCTTGTCCACTCGGGTGCAGGAAGCCGTCCTGTCAGTCCGTCTCAAGCCCACAGCGGGTCAGCACCCCTGCAGAGGTGGGCACAGGCTCACAGACACCTTCAGGTGGACATTTGCTCAGGAAGGGAAGTCTCTTCAGGAGATGCCGTGAGGAGATACCCCCAGGGAGGGAGTCCCGGTCCTCGCTATACCGGAGCGGGGTGACCGCTCTGGCCAATCGAGACCCCACAGAAGGCACACGCCTAACAATGACCACGTGTCATCACATATGTGAACCAGTAAGACGGGAGGGAGAAGAAAGTCAGAGACAAAACTGGGCCCTTCCCTAGGTCTGCCCCAAGAGGGCAGGACCAAGGCCACGAGTCTGAATCACTTCATTCGGGAAATCACAACTCAAACCCTTAAGTCCAAAAGAAATCAGAACCGCTCTCATTCTGACCCGTGGAGAATCCAAGAGGCGCCCGCACAAGCGGCCTGACAGACTGCTCTTTCCTGGCTCGGGCGTGGCTGGCCCCCTCCGGGCATCAGACCTCAGCTCCAAGGTCACGTCCTGCAGAAGCTTTCCCAACAGCTCCGCTTAAAGCAGCCAGTCACTCTCTGCCCCACCACCCAGCGGGGTACCTGCTCACAACCATCTTCCCACAGTGGACACTTCGAGAAGGCAGGAACATGGTCTAGCACGTTCGAGGCCGCACCCCCAGTGCTTGGCGGGCACCTTCAGTGCCGGGTGAGTAAGTGAACAGACTCTGGACTCTGGACAAGGATGACTTTACATCCCAGGTCCACTGCTCACTGGCTGTGTGAACTTGGGCAGTGTACTTCGGCTCTCTGGACCGGTCACTCACTCGCAGAATGGGGACGATCCTTTCACGCGGGCTGTTCTGGAGAGTAGATGGGGGGGGTGGGGGCGGGGAGTCCGGCGAGGCCGTGAGCACAGCGCTCACACCGTCACTGGCTGGCCACCGCGCATCACTGCCCTCTCATTATCAGTACCATCCCCACGGCACGAGACGGACTCCACTTGGGAGTTCTCGTAGGAGAGCTGTGCCGGCCTCCTAGCGGACGGCGGAGGGAAAGGTGGCAATAAAAACCAACTACAGATACACGAGGAGACAGTGGTGCGTCCCCCTCCCAGCCTCACTGCACGAGCAGCAGGTCTCCGGCGGCGTGGTTCTGGACTTGAGAACACTTTCAACACCAGGACTGGTTCTAACTGTGAAAATCAGTAACTCATGTTTGTGGGAACAAACACGGACTCACGCGCCAGCTCTTTGCCTCGACATCCTGTGGAGCCCACGGTCTCGTCTGTGAGGAAGGGACAACCCTCTTCCCCAGAAGTTCTTGTAGGGACGAAAGGTAACGTACGTAAACTACTGGCGTGTGACAGATATCGAAGATACGGTGAATTACATGGCGAAGCATTCAGGGGCGACCCAACTGTTTCAGGCCACCTGTTCCCGGCTTCCTTAGAGCCGGGCTTTTGTATTTCATGCGTCTGCTTAAGCGTCATGGGGATTTTCTGTGCGTGTATGCCTGAAGTGTCACTTTTCCTCCTGAGCCAGCTTCTGAAAGAAATTCTTTGTTAAATGTGTTGGAGCAAATCTGCTGTGAGCTGGAAGCCCATTCCAACTGTCTGAAAACCGGAGTCCTGCAATCGCCACAGCGCGTGTACCGCCACCGGCTGCTGGACAACGGTTCTGGCGGTTCAGATGCTTTGCTTCTCTCATTTCCACTTTCCTGCCCACAGCCTAGATCCGGGTGGGCAAACAGCCCGAGGGGCAAATGCCACCCACCTCAAGGCTCAAGAGGTGGTTTTTAGGTTTTTAGAGGACGATATATACAAAAAGAAAACACTGAGACTAAAGGACAGACACTTAAGTGACCTGTGAACCCTAAAATTTAACTTGCTCTTGGGCCCTTCACAGAAACCTCTGCGGATCCCTCTCTGAAATGACCCAATTTGGGGCAATGCGTATTTTACGGCTGTGCTCTATTTTCAGCACAGAACTTTTACAGTGAGATTCTACTGATTAGGGAAAAAATGCTTCAGAGGCTAACCTTCTCTGGGGCCTTTCCTTGCAAGGTCGATCGATTAAGTGGCCGCCCCCAGTGGCACCTGCTGATTATTATGAAGCACAACACGGGACCCGCACGGGGGGCTTGCGCATGGCAGCGCCCCACCCCCGACCAAGTCAACTCGTAACCGACCCGGTCGCCAAACGAACACCCAGCATCCTGCCGTGAGTGCTGTTTTACTCGGTTAGGCGAGCCAGGTGACAGATTCAAGGAAGGCTGTTTGGCCTGGTCACACTTCCCTTTTGTGATTTACTTGTCGAAGCCGCAAGAGCTGGAGTGCAAAGGGAGGAAGGAACTCACAGGTCTCGATACTGGTCAAAGGCATTGTTGGCTTCCACCTCCAGCTTTCTCAGCCGAGCCGAAGGCATGGCCCCGTCTTCCAAAGGAGGGTCATACTTGTTACTCCATGGTGACCTGGAGGGGAGGAAGGAGAAAGAAATAACATGAATCGTTCCAGGAAGACACGGCCCGTGAGCCGTGAGCCCAAGCCCCAGGTGCCTGACATTTCAGAGGCAAAGTCACTATCCATAGCAGTTTCCAGGCCCTGCTCGGAGTTTGCAGAGCAAGGGCTTGGAGGCACACAGGCCTGGGCACGGACCTCGAGTGCCATCTCTCATCACCTGTGTACTTCTGGGAAGCGTCTTGATTTCTCTGAGCCTCCCTTTCCGAGTGTATAAAATGAGGCTACCATTTGCTACGAGAAGGCTGTTGTGAGGAGCGAAGGAGAAAACACACCGAGTGCCCAGACCAAAGCCTGGCATGTACTAAGTGCCAACGGTGTGACACCTTCTTCCCCCTTTTCTAATTTCCCTGTTTTCACCATTGTATCGATCAACAGACGCCCCTCTCACCTCTCTGACCTGCTGGCAGTTGTGTATAAACTTTTAATCCAAAGACCTGCCTACACAACTAAAGATAAGAGAAGGGAGCTGTCCGTTAGGGAGGCAGCAAGAGACTCAGCCCCAGAGGAACTGCTGATTACATGTGAGAAAACCTGAGGGGTCCTGTTCTCCATGGGAACAGGACAGCCTTCCCAACATCCAAGACCACGGACACATATAAAGACAGCCAAGTAATGAGAGGCAGCCTTTTTCTAGCCCAAAGACTTCCCGCGTTAAAAAAAAAAGTATTTTGCCCCATCAGGAAAGCATTTAATGACAGAGAGTACTGGAAAGGGGGTTCCAGGGGAAGTGCCTAATCATGAATTCCTGCAGGTGGAGTTCAGAGAAAGAATGAGAATGAAAAGGAGAAAGGAACGGAGGGGCGGTGCGGGTGCCACGGGCTGTGGACAAAGTCCTTCCCACTCCTGGACGGAAACCCCTTGACGTCTCCACCATAAGAAACGCATACCGCCTTTCCACGTCGCCCCCAGCTGACAACCAACCTTTGCATCGCAGAGAGTTCCAAAGAACCTTTCAATTTGGCATTGATTTACGGAAAAAAGGGATCGCTGTCTTCAGAACCCCAGTGTTAATGAATTCCGTGTACAAGCCTCATTCTTCCAGGGGACTGCACTGCCCGCCCCCCACTCCTGGGCACCCCCCACAACAAATTACAATCAAGCATTCTCCCACCGCTTCTTACCACTGCTCTTCTCCTGGCACCCCCACAAACAACACAATCACACTTACCGCCTCACTGCTCTCTACCTCCTGGCACCATCACTAACAAATCACAAGTCTGGACCAACCATGGGAGCGGGTGGCTGCCACTCTCCAGCTGTTTTGCACACAGGCCCCAGCTCTCTCAGCTGCTGGGCCAGGCGTGCTGGGAAGAGTCATCGGCCTGGCTCCCTGGGGCAAGGGCTCTAGGTGTGGTAGCCCCCGCCACTTCGAAAGCAAGGAGTCTGAAAACCCTTCTTTCCAAGCTGACCATTCCTCTGCACCATTTTCCTCTCTGTTGGAACAGACTTCACAAGAACTGCAGTTCCTTCTGCCCCTGCGGGACTACAGCCAGTTTGCTCACTCCCCTGAACTGGGCACACAGCATGGAAGAGAGTTATCCAATAAGCCAGACCCATCTTAGCTTAGGGGAGTAGTTGTGAAGCTTATCACTGGCACCCCTTCTCATCTTTGCCCTTAAAGGCCTCCCTCCTCCCGAGCTGGCTGAGGTGTCTGTTCTTACTGTTATAGCACGTGTTCTTCATTCCCCCAAACTGTGCTCAGAGAACTCTCCTCCACCTAACAGAAATGTCTCCCTTTCTACACACCCACTCAAAATGGCGGCTACTATCTTTGGGTTGGCTGCTGAGTGTCTGAGATGTGGCTAGTGCAACCGAGGGGCTCTGTTTTAATTTTACTTAATTTGAATTCATTCAGGCAACCAACTCCAGAACCAAGGTTCCAAGAAGGCAAGTCTTTCCTGTCTTCTTTGTCCGCTAAGCACCTAGAACATGCTGGCACGCAAGCACGTGCTCGCTTAAGCTTTTAAGAGAATGAATAAATCCCCCCCCTCCCCCGCCCAACACACACACCCTCCACTCTCACATACAGATGTCTATCTCTGCAGCTGCCACAGTCCTAGCCTTCCCTCCTCCAGGCCACGAGGGCGCCTGGGGAAGGAGCCCACGTTGCCCTCCTTATGTCCCTGCGCCCAGCACAGAGCTCCCAGGTAGTGAGCACTGGTGATGGGCCTAAGCCTTACAGCACGGGGTGGGAAAGAAGGACCCAAGGGGATTCTGCTGGTGGCCCTCCAACCAGAAGAGAAGGAGCCACCCTCCGCTCGTTCTGAGGAACAACAGAGGCCTCGCAGCAGATCCCGAGACAAAGATGCAGTGGAAGAGAATCTGAGGCCCCCCTCCCTGCCCCCCACGTGCTCCTTTCAAGACTTCCCAGAATACTCCCGGGCCTGACCTCCGTTTCCCCAGCTACACAGCCATCGCCTTCCTGCGGGCCTGGAAGACCTTCTCCAACTGGCTTTCATTTGGAGGTGACCTGATTAGACACAAGAGCCCATCTCTCTTGCAGAGCAGGGGCCTGGAATTTTCAAGAAGCCTGTAACTCACATTTCTCCTGGCTCACAGACGACAGCATTTGAAGCCGTTAGTCCTGGAGCCGGGGTAATTGTAGCTGGGGGAAAAAATCATAACATTACCCAGAATATTCTTAGTGGAAGGGGCACTCAGAACACATTTAAGAGCTTAAATGGAGGCCATTTGAAAAAAGACAGATGGACAGGAACGGTTAGATTTCAAAAGTCAGGCCTTTCATTTCCCTCAGAGAATGCTTTCTGTTTGAGCTAACAGGTTTCAAACAGTGCTGCTGGCAATGGTCACGCCATAAGGATCTTATTTAAGCGAACGATCAAACACAGTTGGGATGGAAATGTGTGGAGAGAAATCAGAAGACCTTGAAGTTGTACCCCGAGAAGGGAAAAAGGAAAGAGAAGTCCTGTGCCCTGAACACCCTGGGCTCCTCTTTGGCTGAGGTCCCCAGGAGGTGCCCCAGGAACGCGGGAGCCGGCGGGGCAACCTGGAGGGGCTGCAGGCACCGGGGAAGCCCGGCCCGGGCACGGACACTGGATACGGAAACAATTCCAGCCGTCCCACAGGCTGCCGGGGACCAGCTGCCGCACACGGCGGACTGGAGTTTTCAGGTGGAAAAGAGAAGTACAATGACGACATTGAGTGAGCGAGAGTCAGCTCGAGGGCCACCTCTTCCCGGAAGCTTCCTGAACCCTGTGCCTGGAGGGGCCGCCTGTCCCTTGGCGGTGTGCCGCCCAGTCAGGTCAGACCACTCGGCACCGCCTCGGAACCCTCTCCAGCGAGGACTGGCCCTTCAGGGCGGAGCCCGATCCATCCCGGCTGCCACAGCCCCTCCAGGCATCTCCACCTCGTCCAGCCCTCGCTCAGGAACTCCAGGCCATCCGCAGCCTACCGGCCACCTCCACGTCCTACCTAAAGGACGTCTCAAGCTCCTCCCACAGTCCTCCTCATCTCAGTCCGCAGCGGCCCCCACCTCCCCATCCCCCCTCACTGCTGCTTCCTCCACGCCCCGGCCCCGCAACAACGCTGCTGACTCTACTCCCGGGACGGGCCTCTCAAGTCGGACAGCTGCTCACCACCTCCACTCGGGTCTCTGGTCTGGACGGGGCCAAAATCTATTCCTGGCCTAACTTCCAGTCGAAGCTGGCAAGGGGGCACGACTGTAAAACATTTGTCTCGTTTCTCTGTAAAGTCAGTATCAATGAAATCTTCGTAATTCACACCAGGTTCTGTGCCATTTAGCACTTGGCCTGTGTCACTTCTTTTAACCCCTCGCAGCTCTGTGCTACGTCCTTCAAGGCCCTGCAGGACCTGCCCTGCCGCACCCTTGACCTCAACTCCCACCCCGGCCTTCCTGTCAAGCTTGAGCCCGACCAGCGCAGCTCCAGCCAGGAACTTTACACCCAGAACGCTCTTCTCCCAGACCCGCGCATGACCGAACCTTCTCATCAAGTCTCATTTCACACATTCCCACTAACAGAAGTACCGTCCCTGACTTTCCATCCTGCCTCTCCTTTTGTATTTTCTTGATTCACTTTTCAGTGTCTCGGTTGACTTCTGCGTTTGCTACTTGGCTTCCTCACTGGAACGGAAGCTCCATAGAAAAGGGACTTAAATAGTGCAGGCACACAGAGGACAGGCCTACAGAGACGTCACCACGCGTTCTGCCGAAAAGAACAAAGCCCCCGATTTCCAGGTTAGAGGTGAGAACGCTAAAGACCAGAAATGGTAAGTCATCTGTCAAAGGCCTTGTGGCTACAGGGGCCAGCGCTGGTTTGGAGCCAACGTTGTGACTCCAGGTAATTTTTCCCTGCTTCCGTGTCTCAGCCCCTGCCTCCGCCCCCAAGAGAACATCAGGCCGAAGCTGTAAGACTCAGCCCAGGTTGTGTGGCCTCCAAATAAACCTAAAGCAGGCTGCATTCCTCCACCATCCTCCAAGGCAATGCACACAGCAATCCATCACAGAAATGCTGGACAGTTTAGGGATTCCTGATGTTTAACAGGAAGAACGCCTAGACACCCTTAAAACCTAGCTCAGACATCACCTCCGTCAGGAAGTTTTCCTGGAGTTTCCCCAGCCTCTTCTAGGCTACCTGCAAATTCCAAATGAGCTTGGTTGGCCCTGGTCGCATGAATCACATCACACAGTAACCAGCTGCTAAGTGCACCTCCTGTTCCGGAGTGGCGATTCTCCAATGCAGGGGCCAACGTCAACTTCGTTGGGCAGGGCCCTCAGCACGGCGATGGGAAGAGGAAGGAGAGCTGTGGATCTGGTGGACAGAGCTGCCTCCCAACGTCCCTCACTGAAGCAGTCCCTCCTCGCGCTCAAGATTCCCGTTACATGCACACCCTATACCTTTGCCCTTGGCACGGCTTAACGCAATTACTGTTTTGTAACAACAGCCTCCTCCCGTTAGATTGGAAGGGCAGGGGCCCTCGCTCACTGCTGAATCTCCAATGCTTTCTGGAGGCACCCCACAAGCACCCAGTGGTTGACCGGATGGCAGGATGGATGGTGGGAAGGGATGAAGGGTGGGAGAGAGGGAGGAAAGTCAGGGAGAAAGAAGGCCGGTGGGCTGTGAGACTGTCCAAGTTCAGTGGTCCTCGTGCTGCTGGGCCGGTGGCAATGCCCGGCCCGGGCTCTGGCCCACCATGCCTGCCGCATTCTCGGGGCGGGAGCTCACCTGTACGAGTCCCCATCTCTGTTGTAGTCACACAAAAGGTAATCCTTCCCCACCACCTTGTCTCTGGCGATTTTCAGGGGCTGGTCAACAGAAGACAGGAGATCTTCACACAGACTGGGGACCTGGCAGAAAGAAAGGAAAAGGCAGAACCGGGGGGTTAAAACAACATGTCAAAACCAGGTTGGCTAATGGCAACCAGAGCCACGTCGTGGTCAGCATATTTAACATCTGGCCCTTGGTACTCTGCCAGAATTATGGGCCTGTTCTTTTCTTTTCCACATGTGTCTGACACCAACTGTGTCCCTCCATAAAGAAACCTGTTCTTGAGTTACAGCGGAGCGTGATTTCCAACACAGCCTTCCTTCCAAATCTGCGTGCAGCGTTAATTACCTGGTCGCCAGGGTGGTCTGGTACATTTAAGTATGTATATGCTTGCTATTGGTCTCTGGTGGGCAAAGTACAAGCTCAAGTCCTGAGAAGAAGGTAAACATTTGAAATACACAGGAATCCAAAGAACTCGGAGAATAACCCGTCCGTGCCGGAGAACTCCCACAGGCTCCCATGCTGGGTGGAGTTTCCAATACTTTCCAGGCCCCCGGCCAAGCATTGCCAGGCTGGCTGGCGGAGTCGACCCTACCTGCTGCAAAGGTAGCTACACACCGGCCCCCCCCCCCAGTGCCAAGCTCTAGCTGGCTTACCTCAGGTGGACCCACTAGGAGCCATGTCACCGAGAAAGAGGGCCCCAGGGCCTGAACCCCATGACAAATGCTGCCGACTCTGACACGTGGCCCCACTGGTAACCAGGCCGCTGGCCTTCTCCTTCTCCTCCTCCTCCTCCCAACTCAAACATCAATTTCCACCAAAATATTCCAGGAAGCGATGGCAGCACTTTCTGAAATGGATTCCTTCAGGCCTGAGTCACTTCCATGCTGTATTTTCAATGTGCTGACTTATTCCTTTCATGGGCCTGGGTTTATGGAGGCCCCACCATATCGTTTACCAGGCAAGCGGCTGCCAACTGCACCAACAGCCCTTCCAAATGGAAAAGTTAAATCATGTGGCAAAGATACCCAGCAGAGCGGCTCAGCAAGGGGGCAGACGGCCGCGGCCGTTCCCACGTTCCTCCAGAAGACCCTTATCGCCTCCAGAAAGGTGGTGGTGGGGAGACTGCCACCCCAGGGACCACCCAGCCTCCGGGGCCTCTCCGGGAACCCCTGCTGAGCCCCACGGTGCTTCCGGGCAGCTTGTAAGGCCCTGGCTGGCACAGCTGGAAGACGGTGACCCTGTCTCACATAGACTCCAGCCTCTGTGAGGCAGAGGCTTCCTCTACGTGGACCCCTGCCAGTCACCTAGGCCCCCAAGAGATGCCCGCACCACTAACTCCTATACACCACCTGTGTCCAGCTCCCCCCGCCCCCACACACACAACAGGGCTATTTTCCTCTTTTGTTTTTCTTTAGATTTTATTTTAAAAATAATCTCTACAGGGGCGCCTGGGTGGCGCAGTCGGTTAAGCGTCCGACTTCAGCCAGGTCACGATCTCGCGGTCCGTGAGTCCGAGCCCCGCGTCGGGCTCTGGGCTGATGGCTCAGAGCCTGGAGCCTGTTTCCGATTCTGTGTCTCCCTCTCTCTCTGCCCCTCCCCCGTTCATGCTCTGTCTCTCTCTGTCCCAAAAATAAATAAACGTTGAAAAAAAATTAAA